AAAATCCGTTATTAAAACTAAAACAACATAAACAAAACAATGCTTCTTGTGTGATCTAGCCATTAAGAAATGGAAATAAACAATTTTAGATAACATTTTATCACAAGTTAAGTAAGAAAAAACAGACACGACATTTCGATCACTGGTGCGATCATTCTCAAGTACACAAGTGTAACTTGTAATAAAATAATACTTATAATCAGTAAGTAAACTCAAAACGAAACCATTAATTTTTCATAATATCAGAAATAATTTGTTGAAATCCCTTTTACATTGTAGAGGGCATTCCGTTTTACAAGAAGGAATTTGTCATGTTTAGTACATGAAAATAAACACACAAAAGTTGTGTGATGATCTTAAATAATAATTTAAGATGCAACAAATTATATTTATCATGACCTTTATATCCTCTCCCATATCTTTTTCATTTTATTTTGGAACAGCTATTCAAGGTTAGGCTTATCGAAATTTCCGAAACAGGTTTTTAAAGACAGTCAGTCTTCCTTGCTTAACAAATCACTGGCGGTGTTAAAAAAAAAAAAAAACTTCAGAGAAAGCAAACCTTGATTGATTTTTTTTACATCTCTGTAATTGTGACTCATTCAAATAGCCTCTTAATTTTTTTTTTTTAATCAGTGTTCCGCAAGTCAACAGCGACGTGAAACCTCTCTACTTGGAAGAAATATCACTAGTAGATGCTGTAATGGAAGATAGAAGAAGCCAAAAGCACACGTGAAATCCGGTTCGGGCCATCTTGGCCAAACTGTCCTTGAGCAGAACTAAACTCAAAATTGCGTTTGTTCCAAACCTCATTAACTCGCTAGAAAGCTGCACTTGTTTCGAACAGCATTTCTTGAGCCGCCATTTTTGTTGATATTCTAATCAGGAGAGGTCACTTTTAGTGTTGAACTTTCTAACAACAATATTTTACTTCACATTGCAACAAACTGTAAGCCCAAAATAAAACCTTTGTGAATTCATACTTGGAAAAACAACATTTGACAATATTAGTTAAGTATTTGACGTCAGTGACCAGTGAGAAGTTTGTTTCAAGTTAAGCACAAAGCTACACATTGGACTATCTGCGGGTATCGAAACCCGGTTTCTAGTGTTGTAAGTCTGCAGACATACGGCTGTTCAACTGGGGACGATCAGTGAGAAACAAGATCCAAAACTACATATCAATAGTTTCAGACGATTTACTCACTTCTATGTATGATTAATTACAGCAAGTAATGAAAATACAACCCAGACTTTCTGGAGAATAACTCCATGTTGTGTGAAGATAAAGGGTTTTGCCCTTTTCCGAAATAAAAAAAAGCTGAAATACATTGTACAAATATATATATACATAAACTAGTGTTCACTAACCTAATAATTTGCTTACCGTATCTGTTTCTATCTTGGCTCCCAACTTATACAATTCTTGAACTTTGTCGGCTTGGCCCGCCACAGCAGCCTGCCGCAGCCGCTCGGACAAGGAAGGTACGGGGGCCTGAGCAGGAACAAGTGTTGTCATGGTGAATGAAGCGGCTACCACAGAACAGCCAACTTGAGACTAAATAACGAAGACATCCATGGCAGTGTGAAACAGTGCATGATTGATTGTGCTCAGCACATTTTGACCTGAAAAGAACGAGAGATAGAGAAAAGCTAGTAACAAATGATTCACTGACATGCAATTCAGACGTAAAGAAATGTTTCAGTCTTTATAACAACAAAACTGTAATTTTTTTCCATAAAAAAAACCTCTTCAAAAATTTAATGTTTAAGCCACGTATATTTTAATTTTTTTTACGAGATTCTATATGGCAGACAAGACCAATATTTCAAATGTTACCAAAACCGAGTCTGATGCTAAACGACTGACATTCGTCGATGGTTGTGGTCATATTTAAATAAATTCGTTTTATTATTGCTAGAAGCGTAGGCAGAAATCTATAAACGTAACTGCTACTTCCTGACGAAAAAAGGAGAAGAGTAGTGAAGCCAAACTGGGGTTCGTGCCCCATGGGAAAAGATTTTGTCACTGCAAATGTTACAGTTTGATGGTATCCAAGGTTTTTTATACATTTTTGAAGTATGTTTTATATATAAACGGTTGTTTAAAATACAACTTTAAAACACACAGTTTTAAGATTTCATAAACGTTGAATGTTAACAAGATTAAATGGGTTTATATAAATTATCATTAAACGTGAACTGAAGTAGAAAGTAAAATATATTAGTTTTCGTTTTAATCATTGGGTGGTGCTTTGGGGTTTGTTTGTAAATAAGCACAAAGCTACACAAGGGGCTATCTGAGCTCTGCCCACCACGGGTATAGAAACCCGGATTCTAGCGCTGTAAGTCCGCAGACATATCGCTGTGCCACTAGAAGGCGGTGCTTTAGGACATTACCCATAATTAAATAATAAATGTAGCTGATCGTAGACTATCATAATAAGTATTAATTACTCAGAATTCTCTGAAAGAAAGACAAATAGCACGTTTAATGTAATAATTCAAACTGCAAAATGGAAAACGACACTTCAATTATTATTTCTGTATATAATTAAATAATAACAGTAAATTTTATTGACATGTATCCGTACGCAACGTTTTCTTTTTCTTAGCCAAAGTGAAATTCTATCATGGTCTGAAATGATATATAATGATAACACCCATTCCCTCTTTTTAATTACATATTTTCAAACACATACTCCCAAGAGCACAGCTTCATACCACATAAATCTTTAAAATCATGTATACTTTGTTCTTTATTCTTCACATATAACATTCTCAATTCCTTTTATATATATATACCTGTGTGCTTCATGTGTCACTATAGAATGGTAATTTCAATCCAAACAAGGCATGTAAATTGGAAACAAATATTCGTTGTTTGAAAGTTAGAGCAAACAAAATCAAAATCATGGTTAGGGTTATGCTCTACGGGGTACCGAGGTGATAGTGACTGTTGACGTCAGAGTCTTAAACTAACGCAAGCGTCACAACAACCAGGTTTTTTTATTAACTGTTTAAACTCTGAACTCTCACACACCAGCTATGATTGTTGTTGTTCTTTTTTTGTTTTGTTTTTCAGTTGCTAAAAATCTAAATGAAAAATGTCAATTATTGCTAATTAACAAACTTTATAAATCAAAGGGTTAGTAAACCATTTTATTCTTATAATACATATCAGCATTTGCAAGTCATTTGCTGACATACACTTTTCCTGAAGCAGATAGATATGTAACTTAATGTGACATTTTATGGTGTTATAGTCATTCAGTGTTTGAATCATCAAAACGTATTTCAGAGTGCTACGAGTAAGAGTCTAGAGTTACGTTGTGTCTTTTTCTGAAACCGTAAGAACATGTGTATTTAAATTTCATGTTATTGTAAACTCAAAAAACACAAGTCGAATGAATGTGTGCAGCAACGTTTTCAGAGATAAATCATGAGAGATGTAATACAAGTTATAAAAATATCTCAAAAACACATTTATTACAAAAAATCTAGTGTTCAAAATAAACTATCCGATCGTAAGACCCGTTCAAATATTAATAACAATTTCAGACATTTTTATTTTGTAAATATAATGAATATTCCGTTATTAAATAATTCTGATGAAAGTGATAAGGAGCAATGAAAGCTTGAATCAACAGCAAAAAGAAAAGAAAAAAAAACTGGAAACTTTGTTATCAGTAGTAAATCAGTTTATTTTGACTACTATAGCCTCAGATAAGGGAGATTTTTATTATTATTAAACAACAGTTTGACAGTATCGTGACCAAAACTAGAGTTTCCAGGCTAACAACTAACTCTAACGACAATAAATAAAATCATTATAAATAGTACTTCAGTCACTCGGTACTGATAATATCAACAGATCAAAAGGAATGCATGAAAAATACAGCAAGTTCTTCAGTTAATTACATTTGTCAAATATGACATTTTATTTTCCAAACGATTCTAATTACCATAGTAAACAACAACTAAACCTGAACACGTGGTAAAGGAATGAAGTTATATAATTAAACATTGCAAAGAATGTATTATGGAGATAAAAACAGTGTAGAAGTTTTGTGCCTTAAACTATCTATAAATGGAATATTCCTGCATAGAGATCTGAAACTTAAATCTCAAATTATCAAAAACAAAGGACCATAGAGATAAAAGAAGCAGTCTTACATAAATCATTCCTACAAAATTTAATGATCATGATAATCAGCGTGAGGGCTTTCATGGCCACGAGGTAAGCAGCGTTAACTGAAGAAGGGTTTTATTGTTTACCATCTAACATCGCATTTTAGGAGAAGTATATTCAAGGTAATGATGTATTTCAAAACAGTCAAGTGTGAAATTTCTAAATACGAATACCATCTGATAACAAGCACGTAATAAAATTACCTTAACTATGTTCTATATGTTGCTTACAGCTACAACCTTGTGTTCCTATGTTCTATATGTTGCTTACAGATACAATCTTGTTTTCGTATGTTCTATATGTTGCTTACAGCTACAACCTTGTGTTCCTATGTTCTGTATGTTGCTTAAAGCTACGACCTTGCGTTCATATGATAAATATGTTGTCTACAGCCACAACCTTGTGTTCCTATGTTCTGTATGTTGCCTAAAGCTACGACCTTGTGTTCATATGATAATTATGTTGTCTACAGCTACAACCTTGTGTTCATATAATAATTATGTTGTCTACAGCTACAACCTTGTGTTCATATAATAATTATGTTGTCTACAGCTACAACCTTGTGTTCATATGTTGCCTACAGCTAAAATCTTGTTTTCATTTGTTTATATGCTTCTTACAGCTACAACTTTGTTTTCACATGTTCTATGTGTTGCCTACAGCTACAACCTTGTTTTCACATGTTCTATATGTTGTCTGTTAGCTATGATTTTATCTTAAGTTGCATATGTTGTCTACAACTGTGTATTATTTCAGCCAATTACGTGAGCCTCTCCGATATCTATAATAAACCTGTTAAAAGAAAGCCTAACGTAACAACATCTCCTAACCATGAGTGTTTTTTTTTTAATATTCTAAATATATAGTATAGCTATTGTTAATATGTAAATAGTATATTAAAATGCTTTATGCACATATAATCTCATCAGAATGAAGTTATAATTCAATGACATTTATCAGTCTGTGATAACAGGTTTTGCGAAAGTAACTGTCATCACTCACAACTGGATTGAAAACGAGAAGTCAATCTTGCAACATACCTCTGGAACGTTGGTGATATTTTTGCTAGTAACAAGATAGCTATCAAACAAACACTTCAGTTGTGTGAAGTTATGCATGGTTACTTATACTCGTTGTCAGGAAGAGAAAAACGTATACATAGTGGTATAATTTGCTGAGACACAATGCAGGTTGGAGCACAAGAGAAATTTCTTAGATGTACAGTTTCCTCTAACGTACCAGGACAGCGACTCTCTGACTGGGTTACTGACGGTTACTTACTCATATGAAATTCATTTTTTGTCATGCTTTGTTATCAACAATGCCTGCTCTCTTCGTGCACTTTCCAAGCTGGTTTATTTAGTTTTAAAGTCCACACCCTATCCTTATATAAATTCAATTACACCTTAAACAAATTGTGCAGTTCATAAAATGAGTTACGAGCTCTTTAGTTTGGACTTTAAAACTCAAGAGGGCGGTTTCTATCAGATGAGAAAACTAGTACATAGAAAATCGTTTATGGTAACAACAAGCACGTTTATTTATATAGAGGGCAAACCGATAATGAAATGAATATTTCAGCTCGCTGTTGCACTCCAAGCAAAAAATACTCCTAAAGCCACTTTTTCTTTTCTCTTAAATAACAGTTGCAATGTTCTGTGGAACCCAACAAAAAAGGGGATAAATTAATGTGAGTACACAATGATACATAAGTACCATGCTTTGTACCCTTTAATTTGGATTGGAAATACATCTGATAACCTATAATAAATATTTTAAGATAAGTTTTCGTAACTTGAAGAGGCCAATATAGGGACAGGCGACAAGGCATAGTGTAATCGCTTGGAGGGTTCGTCCTTAAAAAATTGTTACCAAGCTGTTTTCTTTCTTCTTCTTTTTTTGTGTTTGCGGAACAAGAATTTTGACCTATGTAACATGTCCAAAATCCCCAAGAATTAGCTCTGGAAGTCTCCAAGATCTGGTACACATAGGAGGAGGGGATATTCCAAAAAATAATATGGAAAAGTGTTCAAATGTCATCCAATCTTGATGAAACTTGACACGATTGTTTTGGACAATTACTAAATGCTCAAATCCCCTTGACGACGTCATCAACACAGCAAATTAAACAACTTTTTACGGTTTGGTGAACCTAATTTATTCACTGTAATAGAAACTTAATGAACTACACTCTCAAAATATAAAATCCGTTTTTTATTTATTAAAAAAAATTAACATTTTTGTTCATAAACATTTTTCAGGTGCCAGCTCTACAGAAGCTACAAATAACCCGGTAAAATACAAGTTAGGTATTTATGTGGAATTTACGAGAAAATAACAGCATATGATGACAATAGAATATACGAGTGAGTATTATTTAAGATCATTGTTACGTAGAAAAAAGAAATATAAAATTTATATTAAAACT